CAAGAACAGCAAAAACCTCACTTTCTCAAATTTCTGAAATTTTGTACAAAATATCAGTTTCCCAGTCGCTAATAGTACAAATCCCGAAATAAAGCATAAAAACGAACGCTTGTATATGTTTGTTCGCTTCCAAGCTTCTTATATATTTTGATCACATAGTATTCATGCAGTATTAAGGTGTTTTTCACAGAAGTCAAAAATGCTTTAAAAGAGCACTTATTTAAAAGGAGCAATCTACTAAAAACTAAAATCAAGATTTCAGCATCAAATGGCTTCGAAATGAAATAGGTGTTCAAACTTTTTGCACGGTTATATAAATATGGAAGAAAAATCTCAGTATTTCGTGTTTTGTGAACATCTTAGTGATTCCAAACATTCATTTTTAAGATTCCTCAATGATGTGCTTATCCTAACCAGGATTTATATATTTAATTTTATAGACATATTTACTTCGTAAAAAGACATCAATTTTGGGAAACAGGATTTGAGAATTCTTGAGCAATGCAAAAAGAATGTCTTGTGGCAGGGAGCGTTGGAATTGACAGTCTTTGAATATCATTTTAGTTATTTCCGTAGCTCGTCTTAAAGAAGATACATCATAGACAGGGCCAGATTTATGAGGATTAAGAATAGAAGTTTTTCGAGGCCTGGAATATTGGTTTCAAGGACTGCTGAGTTTCAGGGTCTTGTGATTTAAGTCTCGAGCAGAGCAAGCTGTGAATTAAGGTTGCGCTGTCAAGAAATTGTGGCAAATTTGCTCCCCACAACATTGAAGAACTCATCTTCACCATACTAAATCAATGCAATTTTCCCCCTATTCCTACGTTGTAAGTGGTCCCCAAATCTTTCAATAGACTTGCATTAAGGCTTTTAAATATCTTATCAGCTGTAAATTTGAGGTATTCATTTGGGGGTTTTCAAAAGGGACAGGTTTAAAGTAATCAGCATCAATTGATTGCCTGGATAAAACCACTGCTGTTGCTGATGGTGTTTTTATTTTGACTGTTCGCTTTGACTTCAACGAAAGGATAATTCAAGAGATAAGGGATAGGTAAAATTTTGATAAATCAAAAGGTTCCTTTAGTGGGGCAAGAGTCTATTAAATTTTTAGTTCTATCAGCCAATTATATGACTCTGTAACGAGCTAATTTCATTCCATCTTGAAACTGAGAATTTGCGCTTTCTTTGAACGTTGATAATGTTGTCATCAAATCGTCTTCTTAATTGTATATTTTTGTTGTAATTTCACGCCGTCTTAAATATACCCCACCGAATTTCCAATCAAATAGGGGAAAACTGGAGTCTCTGGAAAAAGAGCAATGTGGATGTGTGAGCCATAGGAGTTCGGTATAAACAAACCCCATAAGGTGTTCAAAGGAAGTCTCTTCATAATCTCCCTCGCAATCTGTACTTCAAGAAATGAAAAATTTAATTGTTCTCAGAAATCTCTCAAAGAGACAGATTAGATAAGGTTCTCTCGTTATGTTTGATTTTTGCCACAAGTCAAAGGCAAAAACCACTTGGAAGTGCGCATAGGAATTTGAATCCTTTCATTATCAAGTTATGCAAGGTGGACTCAAATGAGTATGAATCTGAATGTATAGAAAATTGTGGTGTGACCCTTGGTTATCAGCTATCTAAATGTTTTTGGGAAAGCGCGCCTTTTTTTGTCAACCATTTCTTGTTCTTGTCGTGATTCCATCGTCATCATCTTCGGATCAAATTACAGCACCTAATGTAGAGATTTTTCTTCAAGCGCTTAAACTAAACAGTAGTGTCAACAAAGCGGACATAAACTATGTCTGGAACACATAATGCTGTTYGTGACTGGGCAACTTGAGTTCTTGGAGAGTACCATTAAAAAGGGTTGACAAGCCTTTCATTGTTCGGTTGAATGATAACAACAACTGTTCATTCTAGCTTTACTTGTTCAAGTATCTCCTTTGATAAAGTGAGCCTCATTCATAAAAACACAGAAATCTAGCTGTCATTCGCTGTCAAAATGCGTCAAACTAGCAAACATCAATTCGGGGTTCCTCCAGCAATAAAATAGCCCCACACCCCTCCTAGAGATTTATATTAAAGCCTGGCTGCTGAAAGTTAGTCACCTAAATTTGTTCCAAGAGTTATTTAGGAGTCGAGAGAAAAATAATTACGGCAGCTGCAACGACGTTGGCGGAACTGTATGAAGTTCTTTGAAATATTTTAGCATAACATTACCTTTTGTGGTTTGTGGGACCCGACAAAGGTGAACGCGGCACAGTCTTAATCATTCTAACTTGTTTTTGATAGAATTTATAGCACTGTTGAAGTCGATCTTGTATATTGATAATTAAGGTCTGCTGTGCCGGGAGTCAACTACATTTTCAAACAGGTACTTCGTGGGGAATCGAGTGCTCATGATAGAGTTCGATGGCATCCTTGTAGACGCCGGCTACTCGTTTGAGTTCAATTGACTTACAATAGACTATACAATTAAAACTTTTGAATACTTGCCGACTCTAAAGAAAAAAATTACTGCAAGACAAAAAACGGAAAGCAAAGAAAAATGCCGAAATAACGCGAGAAAACGCTTTAAAAACCGTCGAAATTATCCAAGATTTATGATCAAAGAAATTTGTGTCTGTTGAGTTGAAGTAAATGGACTTGTATTCGTGAAAAGGTGAATGGTGTACGCGCGTCAAACTTGTCTTTTTTTTAGATGAGAGGGTATCAGTTACTTATGTCGCCTCGAGCCATGAGCAAATAAATACGTTTGACGCGAGTTAATAATTATACTATTTGTACGATAGGCCACTTGGGGCTAAACATTGTCATTATGTACTAAAGAATAATTGGGAATCAGTAGCCCGCGGAGATAAATAAAAATACCAAAGTTCTCTCACACTAGATCTCAACCTCTTGTAGACTAGTCGACCTTCACTTGAGCTGTCATCGGCATGGCTCACTCCCAAAGCTATTTTCTTCGAGAGATCTGAAAGATTAGCAACAGGGGATTGATGAAGAAGTTGGAGGCGTGATTAGTTTGAAGCAAGAATTCAGGATGGCTTGGAAAATACCAAGACATTAAAAACAACTTCTCTGTATCTTTATGACTGAGCCCCTAATTAATCAGGAGCTATTTTGATTTAATCCTTTTTAGTTCCCTCGGTTATCAGTTCCGTATTCATCCTCCGCCGGAACAAGCCGTGGATTTATTTAGCACGCGAGATTCTTAACTCGACCTCTCATACAGTTCAGTTGCCCCCCAACAACTTAGTAAAGCTAGTAGGTCCTTGATTGTTAATGGATTTATACCATCTCATACAGTTGCCCTGTCGATCGATTGAATGTCCTGGTATGTATTTACCTCCAAACACACGCGTGCTTACACATATGCATATATATACATATATATATATACGACATATTTATCCACCACGTCTATGTTTTCCCTTACCCGAGCCATAGTATTAACCACTTTAGATTTGAATAGCTGGTAATTGCATCGATGAAAATCAAGAGAACCCTTAATTAGATCCATTGATCCGATGCCGGCGAAATTTGCCTTCCAGATGTATGTATGTACACAGACTAAACAACAAACAAGGGCTCTGGAGCTGTTTGTTATTCTAAGGAAGAGATTGCTCGTCTGGGATTTCGACAACCACTTGCTGTGTGTGTTTTCATTGCGATTGCAATAACATTATAAATATATTCGTCAACAGTCGAACGTTTTGGTCCCCACTTTCTTGACAGTTACATCGAAAGTAAGTGGCGACCCCTCTTGAATGCGTCGCTTCTTGTTCACAATACACGAGTTTTTGCAAAACAAGAACCTGTTTTCTTAAATACGTTTTGTCGGGTGACCACGTCGTATTAGCAGCTTCTTGAACTCATTCAAATGATCCGACTTTAAGCAGTTTTACTAACCGGTCTCAAGTACCGGTCCCGCCGATTCATTGTTTATTCTCAAAAAGAACTCGAGAGAAAATAAGTCAAATCATACAAAACAATCCACAAAAATATTCAGACCTCGAGTATTAATCGGATCTAATTCTATTGACCTCCAGATTAACCTCGTAACTCGTGCTTTTATTCCTTGTGAGTTGCGGTTTCATAGACACTTTATTTTTTGCATTGTTGGGAATTGGTAATATGATCGGCACTGGAGGGGAAAATAAGGTGGCTTTGGTGTCAATTGGTCGCGATATTTGGCTTTCTATCAAACGATACCGCCGATTCTTTGCAATTGGCGGTATAGGATTATACGGGGGGCGTACTCTTCACAAGTCGGAAGGCTACTTCTGATCGACAGCTCAAGTTGTCAGCAACCTTTCAAAATTACGACCGCCGTGACAACAAAAGTCAGAATAAACAGAATAAACACGAGACGCAAACGCTGTGAATAATTCACCGCTATTTTCATACATGTAACATGATACTAAGGGACTTCGTGGCAAATACATATGAAAATTCGCGTTGATTCTTCATATAGCAGCAAAGGTTGTTTGTTAGGAGTGGAACAATCTTCAGGAAAGAGAATAATCCTCGAGGAAAAACCGATGCTGTCGTGCAGGTGTCGAACGGCAAGTCACTGCTCCTTTGCACGTGTGTTTTTCTTCTGATCAGCGTACGGTTAGAATTTGGCTTGTTCGAACGCTATCTGATTGGTAACCTTTTTATTTCCGGTATTACCATGAATAAACGGAGAAAACTCGCTCGATCTCAAACCTCCGCTACCGACTGACCAAGCCGGCTTTGTATGATAATAAGCCTTTTGTAAACTAATTATTTCGAGCCACGGAATAATTACCGTACTATAAATAGATTCGAAGGATCCTTGCTTGGCTTTGAATCGAACCTGAACGAGTCCACAAAAAGGGTTGTCAGATGAACTCACTTTCCTCCGTCACTTGTGCACGTGGAAGTGATCATTTGCAAAAGCCAAGAACGAGTCACATGACAATCAATCAAAACGTCATATGTCATTAGGTAGAGAACAATAAGCTAGGACGCCTTGCCGTCTCATCTTTGCCACCAATAGTTCAGTTGTTGAGGTGTCAAACTCATACAACAGGACTGGTCTCCGCACAGTMAACTTCCAGCTACGATTCGCGGAGCTTTTACCCCACTATAAACATCTTAGCAGGGTGAATTGGGGCCGGCAATATCGCGACCCGTGAATATACGCCACTTCTCAAACTGTAACAGTATTTTTCTAGAGTTTGAAAGCCTCCAATTTTATAGGCAGGTGGTATGAACCTGATGAAATTGTCGGCCGGCAGATAGGAAGCTCAAAAGGAAATCAAGTTGGAAAAGAAATTTAAGAGAGAGAAAAAAAACAAACACTGAATGGTTGAGATCTCTGAGCAGTGAAGTCCTGGGGTATTGGTGAACGGTGACTCGAGACTAGGAAAATTATACGGTCATATTTTAAGTGCCAGWGATTGAATTTATTCGGAGAGAGGCAGAAGACAATTTATTTGCGGGTTTTGTTTCCAAGTGGCTTGAAACCTGACTTAAGATTGGGTTGAGTGCCTCTCCTCCCATCCCAATGACTATGGCAGAGAACGAGTACAGCAAACCCTACTACAGTAAGGAGCGCCGTAACACGACTATTATTATTGATCAGGACTTATCCTAAGCTTGCTTACTAAGACTAGGATTCTTTTTATTCAATAGGGGGAGGCAAAGCTTCGGGCTGCAGCCAAAATGGAAGGATGAATATCTGTACTGGATGTAACGAGCCGATTGAGGACCGCTTTCTCATGAAAGTGGTGGACGAAGCCTGGCACGAAAGCTGTCTACAATGCTGCATTTGTCGTACTCCACTTTCTAGGTCGTGTTTTAGCAAGGACCGAAAGCTTTATTGTAGAAACGACTACGAAAAGTAAGTACCCTTCGTCTTGTACTAGTAGAAACAATAATTCGCTGGCTGCATCCTCGTAGACTTCGGAGTACTCCGTCAAACGCTTGCTTTGAAAGCCAACCTCAGCATACGCTAAGGTCATATTCAATGTTTGTAGAAACTCATCGTATTACACACTGTTTTTACTTGGCCGTACTCAATAAACATTTTCGTAATTAATAGCTTTTTTCAGGGCACTTAAATTAGGCAGCTATAGATCGCCACTTCAATGTCGATTTCAGGGCTCCAGCCTTGATGAAATCAACAAGGTTTTTACATAAGTCAGTCTTTCGGCACAACTTTTAATATGATATACATTAGTGTCTTAATGAGAATGGTAAATTATTGTAGCTTTTTCGAAGCGAGAAGTAGGTTTGTTACGTTGACAGAACCGASATTTCGGGTTAATTCTTATTCCTCAACACCGTGAAATGTTGTGTTGTTTTTCTCTCGTCTATATAATATGCCGCCACTGAGCTGATTATAAAATTTACAACATGGCTAGATCTATACACCGCGTAAAGTATGCATCGGTTTCCTTTGTGGTAGCCTTCAGCAAGCCCTCCTGCCTGCTCTGAAATAGCACTAGAGGGCGCAAATTAGAAATGCTATCTACAAATGACTTGCTTTCAAAGACAAGAGARAGATGTTGGATTAATAATAGACCATCTTGGAGGATTTTTGTCTGATTGATGCACGTTTACATCCTCAGCAGGTTTGGCTACGCGCGGTAAACCTAGACATACGTGTTAATAGTCAATGCCTCTTTAAACGATCTATAACTCGGAATTTTATTCCTAATAGTTTCCATTTTCAATTTCATAACTCTTTGGGATTAACTTTTATGAGGACTGCTGCAACATTCATAACTTGTCACATTGCTCTCTCTCTATCACAATCCTAGTGACACAGACTTAGATTATCTGAATACAATGTAGGTCTACTTTTTCAAGTTTAGTCTAAAAGGGTAGATAGAGCGCCACTGGGGTTTTAAGTCCGTCTGTCAATGGCTAACTGCTCGGTTAGCTAAAGAGATCAATCTAAGAATCACTTCTAGGCCCTCGAAAGTGTTATACAACTTTTAGAGAACAGCGGGAAGCTTTCGCATAGGGTGGCAAGAGATGGCTACCGTAAACGGTCACTCAGAGGTTCTACTCGAACGGAAACCAAAAATCAATACAAGTATAGGACGTTTAACCGCAATAGATGCCGAATTATAGATATGGATAAACTAAAGAATAGAATAATCAAAGCGTTACAAGTACCAAGAGACCGAAGACCTTGGTGTTTTGTTTCGCTGAAGAAAGGCCTAACGAAAGACTAATTAGTGTTTTTATGAAAGATAGGTAATCAATGGTATAATGTAGGCTTGAATTAAAGACCAAAACAAGAGTCCTTCTTTTCTTCATGGGATGATACCAATTGGTCGTTAATCTTGTATCCTAACTGTGGAATAGCTGTCAAGGGCACCGAAGTTGAAGCCCCAACAGCTTAGTGTATATTCTGATAATTGAATGTTTGCATTTGGAGGCATCCATTACGATTGTCAATCACAAAGCTCATTTAGTGTTCATCTTCAAGTAGTTAGTGGCTGGCTAGTAAGCTTAGCTGGCCCTACAACATCTCAGTCCTATCTCATACGGTACTACCCATTGACAAATCAAGGGATCAACAGAAATACCATCTATGTTTCTATCTGAATTCTTCTTAGGCAAACTTTGTAACCCTAGTAATAGTCCTCCAGTGTGAAACAGCCTTTCTCTTATTTGCTTTTCACCAAATTATTTAGAATTTATGCTGCACGTTCGTTTTCTCCGAGAGCTCGCTAATGGAAGTGACCTTTATTATTTCTAATAGCCCAAAAGGAAGCTTTTTATCAAGTCGGAAATATAGAGGCTAATAAGTCAAATCCATAACATCTTAGGTAGACACAAACTTGAAAAATTTGCTGGGTTTTTTTAGTGTAAGTTTGACTTGTTTTGGTTTTGTTTTTTTTCCAGCAAGCAGGCTAAGATATTGGATTGGAATAGTTTTTTTGTGTGGGGTATTGTAGAAAAATTGAAAATGGTTAAAGTCATCTTTTTTTACAAGAAGTCAGTATAGCAGTTCTGACCAACATATTTAGGGCCCTCCAAAGGCACTTTGTTAGAAAGGCAATAGAATAAATCTCCTTTCAACATATCGGCTTTGCCAACCTGTCTACAGTTTTTTTGTTAGTGAAGTAGGTGTTGAATTGCCCGGAAAGGGAAAGAAAACGAGACAATTAGGGAGAACACGACACGGGTCTACCATCCTGCTTCAATCCACTCACGTGTACTTGGTTTGCTTATGAACAGAAAAGATGCTTCTGTTGGAGAAACTGTGTGGCTCAGAGCAAGCTGCTAGCACAATATCTAAGGCATAGAAACGCCTTCAAGCAAGTCTCTGTTTTTTAATTGCTAATATTTTAAGTACAGAATCAGTAAAGATTTATCAGGAGAAAACAATTTATTAGCTTCCCAGCAAATAGATACTAAAACTATTTGCTCGAAAGTTGCAAATGCAAATGCTACCAAGGCATACAAAGCGGGGTCTTCTTGTCACATCATAGTCTTTTCTGAAGTTGCCAGTGTTTCTGGATTTAGATTAGGGTGAATGTTAGTTCCAACGTTTTGAACTTGTATCAGTGAAAAAGAACTCATTTCAGCATCATGGGAAATGGTTCATTGACAACAAACCAAATGCTCACACTGAGTCAGCTCAGTTCACACTTGTATTGACATCCCAGCGCTCACCTGGTCTCAGGATTTTCAGTTCTCGCTTCTTAATCTAGAACCCACTTTCACGTTTTGATTTCTCTATCAATTCATTGAGAAAATTATGGAAGAACTATACGAAACCAGTGAAAGGGTGTGTCAATGCACTCTTCCATAGAATATGTAGCTCTTAGGCTAGTGTTGTAGCTCGGTGGTTAATAAGGCACTAACGTTCTGAGAACTGTCAAGAACGAACCGACAACCAAGTACAAATATCGACAAAGCATTAAAGAACTTCTCTCAGTATTGCGACTTCCAAGGCAACCTGTATCTTCATGACTATGAATTTGATGTGATTGAGATTGCCACACGAGGAGATTTTCTCAATCAGAGGTTCATCACGAAATAATCCTTAAAATTAGCCCGGTTTAATTGCTTGTATCCTCGAAATGCCTCAAAGACAACGTCGATAATATAAGCTTAGCCATTTTATTTTAATTTGAAATTGTCACGAAGGTGCTAGCCACCAGAACGGCTGTTCCTTAATGAAATTTCTTGCCCAATACCTGTTTGGCTTAGACTATTTCTCAATTACATTGTGTTCGTTATCATCAACCTATTTCCCTTCAAACTCGGTCAGTTCAACAGTTACCAATGGAGTGTCGTTCTGCCGACGCGTTTGATGTTTTCGGCCGAACAATGGTTATAGCGCTGAAACGAGCCGATATCCCAAGGGGTTTTTTCACAAAGATATTACATCGAGCAATGTTATGGCGGAAAATTACAGCTAACTAAACGAAAACTATCGTTCTATCCTTCGGATTTTTTTCTTTTGGCGTTTTTCTAAGAACAGCAAACAAGATTTTTCTAATGGTTTCAGACGAAAACCTCTGAAAGGAACAAAATGTTTCGCTAGGAAATCTGGCTCCAAAATCAATAAAATGTCTGTCCCTTTTCTTTTCACTTAAATCCACCTTTTTAATTGCGTTGTTTTTCCTCATATTTATGAACTTTATTCTCTTAAGTACAATATACGAATAGTTAAAAAATATAGGATATATTGAGATAAAGCAAGTTATTATTTTTGTATAGAGGAATGATAGGGTCGTTTGCATTCAGGCTTCTATAATGTATACATTTCACATCATGTCCACCTCCCGTTGCGAGGTAGTCGGGTCTTAAATGATTTTCCTACAAGAAAACACGATACAAGGCTGGTCCATTTTCTTTAGAAATATTTCCATGGCATTTTGATTAAAAATTAAGAAGAAAGGCTTTAGAGTTCATGGTGTTGTTTTGAGAAAGATGTTCTATTTGACTTCTCTCCCCTGTGATCATCTCGAACTTTCGCTCAAGTAAAACACGGCGCGAACATAACCCTTTCTTGACCTGCCCTCCATCTAGTAATCGAACAGGTTATCACCTACTTGAGGACTCTTAGTTTAGAGTCAGAGAATGTCCAGACATGTATGTATGCATTCACTTCGGTTATCTTTAATAAGTTAAAACAGACCATTCAGTGTAGCCTTACAGATTCCCTACTGATACAAGTCCGACATGTTGGGGCTGTACATGGATTAGAACCCAAATATCCCATCTACTCCTCCACCTGTCCTCGCTATTTGAGGTTCTACTTTATTTAGAACAAATCCCTTTATTTCCTTTCCCTCGATAGCTTTATTAGATATGACCGCCCAAAACTTGGAATCCAAGGATAAGAATATCTAAAGCTTTTTACCCGGAATTGCATATATTTATTACCGACAGCTTAATAACAAATTGATACGTTGACTGTCATTGTCAAGTTTTTAACTCATAAAGACATTGACTAAAAGGGTGCAAGTCAAAGATTGTCCATACAATACCATTACGCTCAAACACTCGGGCTAGAAGCTTTTATCTACGTTAGGATTTCTGAAATGGCTTATTTGACATGTCCGCTGCGCTTGGTAGCAAGTTTGGGTCTTACTGTCAATGTTATGTCTTTCGGAGCAGTTGGAGAACGCTACAGCTGAACTATATACGTGTGCACGGTTTCCGTTACTCATTCTTATCTGCACTGTTTACGTCTTCTATCACACTGTTTTGCGCTCATTGCAAAACCCTGATTTTCAAAATGTCTTCACCACCTTGGGAACCGGGGGATTAATACTAAGTAAATACCGGGTTATCGGCAAATACATTTAAGTACCTTTTCAGTTTTTCCAAAATAAACCCCCAAAAGGCCAAACAGGTTTGTTGTGGACC